TATATGTAAGTGGCAGACATCAAAAGGTCTGAAGCTGGGGATAACATCAGATTTGGGTTTCAGAATAGCAGTCCCCCACCATCTCTCTGATAAGACATATAACAGATGAGGCTCACCACTGACACGGACCCACTCCACCTTTCTTTAACATACTCAAGAAAACACTTCAGAATGTAAGTGAATGAGAATGATATGCTTTTCTCAAAGTCGCTTATGTCACTTGAATCTGTTATGGTAGGAAAAATTTTGTAGGTAAGTGGTATGTACAAGAAAAGGCACAAAACTCCCATCAGTGAACCAATATGCCTTGGCCATGTATTTTTAAAAAATGAAAAAATATGTATTTATACTTCTTAAAATAAAATACAATGTAAGTAGTCTATTTATGATAATCCCTATGTTGTGCTCGCATCGGCAGCACATATACTAAAAAAAAAAAAACAAACGATAATCCCTAGGTCAGCTGACTTTTAAAAACTAACTGCCCTAATATACCAGTCTAGCCGTGTTAGATATGGGGGAATCCGCTATGATTATAGATGTATAAGAGTTAGAAAGGAAACAAGCAGAGCACAGTGAGAGAGAGAATAACAATGGTGTTGTGCACCTGGTGGAGAATGGGATGTCAGATGCCAGCAAATAAACAGCTCTGAACAAATAAAAAGGATATTGTACTGAGGGTTGCTGGAGGGGTAGCTGGGTGATGGACACTAGGGAGGGTATGTGTTGTGTAAGACTGATGAATCATAGACCTGTACCCCTGAAACAAATAATACATTATGTTAATAAAAATTCAATAAATAATTAAATTAAAAAAGATTTCATCATATATTTCATGAATTAGTAGTTTCATGGAAAGTTACTGAGTTAGTCCTTGACAGTGAGTCATAACCTTTTAAATGTCAATACATAAAACTACAGTAATCTAAAACGTATTAAAATCAAAATATTACAAATACTTGGTTTCAGGTATTCAAGATAATACTAGAGTGCCATTTGTTGCAATTATGTAAAAAAGAAGGTTCCTTCTGTACAGGATAACCTTGGATTTATTCTGATTTTTTTTGCCAAGTGAACAAATCTCAAGCTTGAATTCTTTGAGTTATGATACTGTTAGAAAGGTTATTTTTTTTTTAAATATTTTATTTATTTATTTGACACAGAGAGAGAGAGAGAGAGATCACAAGTAGGCAGAGGAGCAGGCAGAAAGTGAGGCGGAAGCAGGCTCCCTGCGGAGCAGAGAGCCCGATGTGGGGCTCGATCCCAGGACCCCGAGACCATGACCTGAGCCGAAGGCAGCGGCTTAACCCACTGAGCCACCCAGGCGCCCCTAGAAAGGTTATTTTAAGACAATTATCATATGATCTCCCTGATATGAGGAATTTGAGAGGCACAGTGGGGGGTTTGGGGGGTATAGAAGGAAAAAATGAACCAAGATAGGATCCGGGGGGAGACAAACCATAAAAGACTCTTAATCTCACAAAACAAACTGAGGGCTGCTGGGGGGAGGGGGGTATGGAGAGGGTGGTTGGGTTATGGACATTGGGGATGGTATGTGCTCTGGTGAGTGCTGTGAAGTGTGTAAGCCTGACAATTCACAGACCTGTTCCCCTGGGGCAAATAATACATTATATGTTAATTAAAAAAAAAAAAAGAGTTATTCTATTCTTCCAGAAATGAAGCTGGGCAGAATTATGAGAAGTAGGTAAGTTAAGGAAGACTTCAGAAGCAACAATAGAAATGGCTATGGATATGGAAAAGAAGAAATAGATTCTAGAGATACTTAGGACTGATGAGGTTCCTTTTTTTTTTTTAAGATTTTATTTATTTATTCGACAGACAGAGATCACAAGCAGGCAGAGAGGCAGGCAGAGAGGGAGAAGCAGGCTCCCTGCTGAGCAGAGAGCCCGATGCGGGACTCAATCCCAGGACCCTGAGACCATGACCCGAGCCGAAGGCAGAGGCCCAACCCACTGAGCCACCCAGGCGCCCGAGGTTCCTTTTTCTTAAAGTTCCTTTTTTTTAAAGTAATCTCTATGCCCAACAAAGGACTCAAACACTCAACCCTGAGACCAAGTGTCACATGCTCTACTGACTGAGCCAGCCAGGCATCCCTGAGACTGATGGTCCTTGATGATCAAACGATTGTGGAGGGTAAGAGAGCACAATGCTATGATGACTCCTGGATTTCTATCCTGAGTTATTTACTTACAAATCTTTATTCATTTCCTCAGAGAATGAAATCCTGTGTGTTATACTCTATGAAAAAGTTGGCTTGGTGGGTGGTCAAAAGGTACACACTTTTATTATAAAATAAATAAGTCATGGGGATGTAATGAATAGCATAGTGATTACTGTGTATTTGAAAGTTGCTAAGAGAGTAGATCTTAAAAGTTCTCACCACAGTGGCACCTGGCTGGTTCAGTTGGTGAAGCATGTGACTCTTGATCTCCAGGGTTGTGGGTTCAAGACCCACATTGGGTGTAGAGATTACTTAAAAATAAAATCTTAGGAAAAGGTTCTCACCACAAGGAAAAAAAATTTAACTGTGTGGTGATGGATGTTAACTATCATTTTGCAATATATACAAATACCAAATCATTATGTTGTACACCTGAAACTAATATAATGTTATATGTCAATTATATCTCAATTTAAAAAAAGCTTGGTACAGGTGAAAGTTAATTAGATCTTAATCAGCTTAAAACCAAAATGAGAGTATTAAGCAGAAGAAAACCTCAGAGACCAAGCCAAAAAACATCAATGGCCTCCTAGTGGTAAAGAGGAAAACATGAGGGCATGAGTACTCTTGTCCTGGTAACTATTTTTCAATTAAATCATTTAAATTTCAAATGGACATTTACATTATTCAAATATATGGCTCCCAAAGTACTAATTTTTCAAAGAATAAACCAAAAATTGATTCCACAAAACAGAATACTAAAAGTATAACAGTTAAATCAATTAATTTAGGGGTGCCTGGGTGGCTCAGCTGGTTAACTGTCTACCTTCAGTTCAGGTCATGATCCCGGGGGCCTGAGACTGAGCCCCACATAGGGCTCCCTGCTCAGCGGGAAGCCCACTTCTCTCGCTCCTTTTGCCACTCCTCTGCTTGTGCTCTCTCTCTAATAATTAATAAAATCTTAAAAAAACCCACAATTATTGTAATCTTTTTTTTTTTTTTAAAGAGACTCGGGGTGCCTGCATAGCTCAGTTGGTTAAGCGTGTTACTCTTGATTTTGGCTCAGGTCATGATCTCAGGGTTGTGAGACTGAGTCCTCCTATCAGGTTCCCCGCTTAGCATGGAGTCAGCTTGGGATTCTCTCTCTCCCTCACCCCTCCCAACCCCCCACTTGCGTGTTCTCTCTCTCTCTGTAAATAAATAAATAAAATCTTTAAAAAGAGAGAGACTTTAAGCTCCATAAGTTCTGGGACGCTGCTAAACATGGATAAAACAACCTTCTCTGGATTAAAAGACAAAAATAAGCCAGGCCAGCTCAGAAATAAACCTTTTTGTGTATATGGTCAATGATCTTCCACAAGGGTGTCAGGACCACTCAATGGGGAAAGGACTATCATCAAATGGTATTAGGAAAACTGGATACAAAAAAGAATGAAATTGGATCTGTATCTTACACTACATATAAAAATTTACTCTAAATGGAAAAATCTTAAAAATTATTCTAAATGGATTAAAGACCCAAACATAAGACCTAAAAGTATAAAACTCCTAGAAGAAAACAGAGCAGAAAATGTTTTCATGTCATTAGACACAATGACTTTTTGGATGTGACATCAAAAACACAGGCAGAAATGCAAAAATAGACAAATGGCACAAACATCAAACTTAAAATTTTTGAGCACCAAAGGACATAATCAACAGAGTAAAAGGCAATAGAGAATGGGAGAACATACCTGGAAATCATATATCTCATAAGGGGCAAATATCCAGAATATATAAAAAATACCTACAGCTCAATGACAAAATATCAAATAACTCAATTAAGGCAAAGGACTTGAACAGACATTTCTCCAAAGATGATATACAAGTGGCCAATGAGCATATGAAAAGATGCTCAACATCACTACTCATCAGAGAAATGCAAATCAAACCACAGTGAAATATTACCTCACACTATCATTGGGATTGCTACTATTAAAGCAAAAACACCCAGGAAGTAACAAGAGCTGGTAAGGATGTGGAGAATTTAAAATCCCTGCCATAACTGCTATGGAAAAGAGTATGGTAGTTCCTTATGAGAAAAAAAACAAAAACAAAAATGAACAAAAAACACAAAAAATCCCTAACATATGATCCTGCAATCTCACTTCTAGGTATATATCCAAAAGAACTGAAAGCAGAGACTTGAAGAGATATATCTGCACAATCCATGTTCATAACAGCAACTATTCAAAGTATCCAAGAGTTAGAAACAACCTAAATGTCCATCAATAGATGAATGGATAAACAAAATGGTATATACATACAAGTAAATATTATTTAGTATATACATACAAGAAAATATTATTTAGTCTTAAAAAAAATAGAAATCCTGCTACATCCTACAACATTAATAAACCTTGAAGACATTCTGAATGAAATGAGCCAGTCCCAAAAAGACAAATGCTGTATGATTCCAGTTACATAAGACATCTACAGTAGTCAGATTTATAGAAACAGAAAGAATGGGGCTGGAGAAGGGGGTAAGGGGGAGTTGTCTAATGGTTATAGAGTTTCACACTTATAAGATGAAAATGTTCTGGAGATCTGTTTCACAATAATGTAAATAAATTTAGTATTGAAGTATACACTTAAAAATCATTAAAATAGTAAATTATATGTTGTATGTTTTTACCAAACACACATACACATAGATCCAAGTCAGAAAATTATATTCTTTGTAGCATCACTTTGTGCTAAAATGACTTCTTAGAGAATACATGAACCACAAGATAAACATTAAAATATAAAACATTTTATACTCAGAAAACTTTGTTACCTGCAACAAATCCAACTACTAGATCTTTTCCAGTAGTAGAACGTTGACCTTTGACCCAGACTGCTTTGAGACTATTAAAAGTGTAGAAATAGACAAAATTGGAGCAGCAGAGACTGGAGATAACTGGAAACCACCCTCGATATGGTGCCAGGCTAGAGGAAAAACACAATAAGCAATGTAAAGATGCTGGACAAAAGTTAGTGGAAAGGGGCAAAGTCCTAGAAAAGGGTGATCATGATTCACATATTCTCCAAGTTCATTCCTACACTACAACATACTCCAAACTGTACATATATCTCACATTCTGAAAGATGTCCAAACCAAGAAATCTTTTCTACCATTAATGATACCAAAGAAACAATACACTTTCAATGACTGATTTTCTGGTTTCCTCCCCTTGATTTCCTTTCGTAAATTACTGTATAAAATTAGAGATAATTTCTGCATGGCTATTAGTTAATATAGCACCATTCACATTTTATTACAAGGTAACAACATTTAGAAATGAAGTAAATACAGACATAATAAGTGTAAAAAAAAAAGTGATGGGAGCATGTTATTAGGGCACAGGAACCAGGCTGAAGGGGCTCCCACTCAGGACAGTTTCAACACCAACATAATATAGTATGGTAATCAATTGTAAATCACCGAAAAACCAGGAATTTCTGGGTTTATACTAATACTAAATAAAGTTTTTCTTCATAGACTGCTGATAGATGCAAGAGAGGAAAATTTAAATTATTCAGTAGTTAACCTGAATCTGAGAAATCATAATTAACCAATGAGGGAGGGTGGACAATATGTGATTCCAGATGTGATAGCCTAAGGACACAATATCACCTATGCATGACATGACTCTGGTCAAGAATGCAGAGCCCTCAGTCTAATCATAAAGAAACGAGGCAAACTTAAAATGAGAAACATTTTATTTAAAAGAAGGGGGGCTATATTCTTTAAAAATGTCAACAACATAGGGGTAAAAGGCTTTGATGTATGGTGTGTAACTTACTCTTAAATAATTCTGAAAAAAGTTTGTGTGGTGTGTATGTGTAATAAACAGAAGGGAAGGGAGAGAGAAAGCAGGGAGAAAATATAAGCACAACTGGGAAAATAAATGGGAAAAAGTGTTAATATAGTAGGTGGCTCTGGGTAAAGCATGTATTGATACTCTTTGTAGTATTTTTAGTTTTGTAACTAAAAAACTTTTTGTGAACTTGAAATTATTTCCAAATAAAAAGTTAAAAAAAAAAAAGAAGTACATAATCTGAAGGCATCTGATAGGAATGAACTAAACAACAACTTCTTCGGCTCACTATAAAAAAACACTAAAACGTAAAACAAAGCATTGGTTTCATGGAAGACTCTATGATCAAGAATCAAAATGTCCAACTACAAAACTTTAAGGAGATGAAAACAATTATGTACTTACAAGTCAGGCAATTACAGATTCACAACTACTGTTAGGCTACAAGAATGGAAAGAGAGTTGGAGACAGGTGTGCTAGGAGCCCAGCAATCTCCCAAATGGGCTGCTTTATCTAGCAAAGATGGGCAAGGTGGTACTCACAGGCCTTCTTCCTTAATGATCTCCAGGAGCACCATGTGTGTAGTTTTGGACTTTCTTTTCTCATCAACTATAAGATAAAAGAATATACATTTTAACTAAATCCTTTGAGAATTATTATCTTCAGCATCGACAAGTTTCACTGAAATGCCTTTTACCTCACCTGAGCAATCTCCCACCCTATTATTTGAGCTCCCTAACTTGCCTCAGAACTCACCAATCCTCCTTGTTCCTATTGCTAAATTCCCAACTGTGGTTTCCTTGGGTCCCATCTATTATTCATGAACCACAAAGCATTTTAATTCAATGCCTAATTCCCAAAGCTAAAGCGTAACAGGAATCTTGTATTTTATAAGGCTTTCTTGTTTTGAGGTTTTTTTTTTTTTTCAGAGTTACATATTCCCATTTTTATCTTAACATCTTATAACGTAAAGAGGAAACTAATTACCATCTCCCTGTTAGCGGAGAGGCTAACAGGAGACATGAAGGACACATGTAGCTGGCAGCAGAGCCATGATTAAAACTCAGGTTTTCAAAGTTTTAGGCTTTTGTTCTATTTCAAAATATTTGTTCTCTTTCTAAAAAATAAAGGTCTCAGAAGGATGAGAACTGGGATGCCTGGCTGACTCAGTTGGTAGAACATGTGACTCTTGATATCAGGGTCGTAAGTTTGAGCCCCACCTTGGGCGTAGAACTTACTTAAAACTAAAAAAAGGATGAGAGCTCTGCTTTTCTTGGCATTCTCACTGAAAAATCACAAAACCTCAATTAACTTCACATTTCCTACCCACGCTTGGAGAACATTTTGAAAACATAAAAATGTGGAAATAGAACAATTTCCTAAGAATTAAAATTGATACCTATACGATTTGTGGGATGGTGAAAGGAAACTCCTACAGAAGGCAATCTGGCCATAGCTATCAAAATTACAAACAGGCTTAACCCTTTGATCCAGCAATCTCACTTCTGGGAATTTATCCCATAGAACTTACAGAAACAAAGCACATATGAACAAATCTATTCTACAAAAGAGAAGAGGGGTGCCTGGGTGGCTCAGTCAGTTGGGCATCCAGGTCTTGGTTTCAGCCTGTGCTGTGATCTTGGGGTGGTAGGATCAGGCCCCACATGGGGCTCCACATTCAGCACGGAGTCTGCTTGTCCCTCTCCCTCTGCTCCTCCCCCTGATCACACTCTCTGTCTCTTTCTCAAATAAATACATAAAATCTTTTTTAAAAAATCTTTTTTTAAAAAAAGATTTTTTAAAAAATCTTTAAAAAATTTTGTTCAAAATTTTAAAAATAAAAAAAAAAGATTTTATGTATTTATTTGACAGACAGAGATCACAAGTAGGTAGAGAGGCAGGCGGTGGGGTGGGGGAGCGGGCTGCCCACTGAGCAGAGAGCCCAACTCAGGGCTTGATCCCAGGACCCTGGGATCATGACCTGAGCCGAAGGCAGAGGCTTTAACCCACTGAGCCACCCAGGTGCCCCTAAATAAATAAAATCTTAAAAAGAGAGAGAGAGAGAGAAGAAAAGATCCAAGAATCTACAATAGGGGAAGGGGAAACAGGTTCTGATGCATTTATACTATGAAATCATGCTACAGCTAGAAGGACGAAGAAGCTCCCAAAGCACTGATTTAGAAAGCATCCAAAATATGCTATTAAGTAAAAAATTTACGGTACAGAACAATGTGACAAATATGCTTTTTTTTTGTGGAAGGACAGGAGAAATCTTCTATATTCTTATTTGCTTGTTATTCCATAATGAAATTCTGCAAGACTATTTGAGAGACAAATAAAGACATTATCTGCAGAGGAGGGAAAACGGAAAGATCAGAGTGAGATTTTCCACTGTAGTATGCATGATTTTATATATTTTGAGTCATATGAAAAACTATCACAAAACTCTAAAATTGATTGATAATAATAGCCATGAAGGGTTTTAACATAGGAATCAGTTTACTTAAAGCTAATATTATTCTTATCTCTTCACATAAGTTCTAGCACAGATTTATAATTTCAGGTTGAAAAATACGAGGGAATAAGCAAGCACGAATTATAGTTGCCTAGTCCTATAACGCAAAAGAGGCAAACTAGGTCTACATGCCCAACTTAGCAGTGACAATGGGTGTTTGGCTCCACTGTGTCTCTATTCTTTGCTCTCTTTCGAGAAGATCTACCCTCAGCAAAAACTCTGTACATTGTGCCTTAAAAATGTCATATTGTGCAGGCACCCAGCTGGCTTAGTTGGTAGAGCATGCAACTCTTGATCTTGGGGTTGTAAATCTGGGCCCAATGTTGTATATAGAGATTACTTAAAAAAAAAAAAAAAAAAAAAAAAAAAATCAGGGTTCCTGAGTGGCTCAGTCGGTTAAGTGTCTGCCTTGGGCTTAGGTCATGATCCAAGCTGGGATCGGCCCCATATCAGGCTCCCTGATCAGTGGGGAGTCTGCTTCCCTCTCTCTCTCTGCCCCTCCCCCTCACTGTGCTTGATCTTTCTCCTTCTATCAAATAAATAACTAAAATCTTTTTTAAAAACTCATATTGTTGGGCGCCTGGGTGGCTCAGTGGGTTAAGCCTCTGCCTTTGGCTCAGTTAAAAAAAAAAAACACCTCATATTGTTTATTAGAAATAACTGTAATGATTCAAAATTATTAATGCAAACCCACTCAGGTTCTTTCAGATAAGAGAGGCTGAGACTATGACTCATTCATGAACATCTCTCTGTTAATTGAGAAATAGCAAGGATGACCAGTATGTAAAGTCAGTGGAAATGGACAAGGATAGATTGTTAACAAAACAGCTATCCTTATGTTAACTTAGAACTTATGAGAAAAATATGTTTGCTTCTTGACACCAAATGAAAAGACTATGATGCCTACAAAAGATACTCACCTTGAAGTCGGAGTCGAGCTGTATCCAAGGGGAAAAATACTGTCATTGCTGTCATGCTTCCCTGAAAAGTTTGAAAAGCCTTTAGCAATTACGGTTCCATTAAAAACAAAAAGCCACAACTTTCAAGTGAATAAAAGTTCATTATTAACAAGGAGTCAAATCATACTTTCAGTGAACAGACATATACAATATTGGGATTATTACTGCTCAAGTTCTATAGTTTTATACTTAAACGGAAGTATTTTATTTTCTAGAAAGAATCTCTCTCATACTGAAAAAGAAAATGAAGAGGGTGCCTGGAGAGGACAAACTTAGGGGTTTACAACCCAGGACACAAGTAGGAGATAGCAGATAAATGGATTTTTAATCTTTTATATGTCAGTTACTACTCCTATGTTCTCTCTGATAATCCTACAAACCAAAATATCCAGTAATCAAACAGATACATATTTCTATTCTCTTGGCTTAATCAATATCCTTACCACAAAGTAAAGGAAGTGTACAAATCATATTGCTCTTTAAAATAGTTTTGTTTGCTTGTGTTTTAAGTAAAATAGGGACAATCTGGGCTCAATATTCCATCTGTTCATTCAGGGTAACACAATGACAAAAAAAATATCAGGGACAGAGGCCCAAACTAGTCTTTCCATTCAAGAAATCCTACAACAGATAGGGGTGCCTGGGTGGCTCGGTTAAGTGTCTGCCTTTGGTGGAGGTTATGATTCCAGGGTTCTGGGATGGAGCCCCAAATTGAGGGGTTGGGGGGAGGTCCCTGTTCAGTGGGGAGCCTGCTTCTCCCTCTCCCTCTGCACACCCCCAGGTTTTTTAAATAAATTAAATAAATAAATAAATACATAAATACATAAAATCTTTTCAAAATTCTATGACAGATAAAAACCACAGTTTGGGATGAAATCTTCAGGTGGGTTTATGGTCTCAACCCAGATGGAGACCCACTAGTATATATTCTCAGGCATAAGACCCAAGTTTTAGGCTACTAATCTAATAATGGTTACATATAATATTTTAATCATGATAACAACTGGAAATTAGGTCAACCTTATGGATAAGAAACATCTGCCAGGTTTCTTATCTATTTAAATAGGTCAGCCTGCTTGACAGCAGAGAACACTGTACTGTCCTGTAAAGTATTCTTCAAAACTCAGATTGAATGTTACCACCCATTGCCCATCTATGTTCGTTCCTCTGTGTTCCCACAACATTTTCTTATGGCTCCTCTACTAGATTTTAAAATATTTACTGTCTCTTTGTAGAATATCGATTCTTAAAAAATGTTTATTCAAGTTACCTATTCAGTTATTTATGCTTTTTTGATGACTCCCAGCACCAATGTTCTTTCTAATAAGGACTAGATAATATCTAATGTCTCAAGAAACACTGGACCACAAAGTCTTACAGTCTACAGACCTATGCTTCCAGCATTCTTGCTCATGTCACTGGCAATTTCCAAGAAAAATGGGGACTGGAAAGCTGGAGAATGTTTATTGGGTTATGAAGGCTGTGGCTTTTTTCCCCCACAGCATGGTACTACATATCCATGAAGGGTACTGCATAAACAGGGCATCTCTAGGCAAGAAAGCCCTGTCTGGAAACTACTTTTTCAAACAATTGGGCCATTTCCATCCCTCTTCCTTGCCAGCTTTAAAGATACACCTGAAGTTTCCTAAGTTAGAAAAACCTGCCTACTTACCCTGAAATTTTTTAAGTGAAGTACATGGTATGCCAAGCTAAAAAGAACAGTCATTACTAAGAATTCGGTCTATTACCTCCTCAAGGACTAGCATAAAGTTCAAATCAGTAAAATTAAGTAACTTTTTAAAATTTATTAGTACTGGGGGTGCCTGGGTGGCTCAGTGAGTTAAAGCCTGTGCCTTCAGCTCAGGTCATAATCTCGAGGTCCTGGGATCGAGCCCCACATCGGGCTCTCTGCTCAACAGGGAGCCTGCTTCCCCCTCTTTCTCTGCCTGCCTCTCTGCCTACTTGTAATCTCTCTCTCTGTGTCAAATAAATTTTTTTAAAAATCTTAAAAAAAAATTTATTAGTACTGGAAAGACTGGATCAAGATGGTGACTCAAAACTCAGCATTGCCTCCTCCCCATTCCAATCACTAATAATGACAGAAAAGGTTTATATGTTAAAGTATCGTGTAGGGGGACCTGGGTGGCTAAGTCGGTTAAGCATCTGACTCTTGGTTTGGGCTCAGGACAGATCGGGTTTCACCATCCCAGGGTCCTGAGATTGAGCCCGGTCCGGATCCACATCAGAGAAGAGTCTGCTTGAGATTCTTTCCCCCTCTTGCTCTCTCCCTGTCCATCCTCTCCCTGTTCATATTCTTGCTCTCTGAAATAAATAAGAATCTTAAAAAACAAAAATTAAGGGTGACATGAGAGTTTCGGTTTGCAACAATATGGTGGCCTAGACAACATGCTGCAAAATACCTCGCTGAGCTCATAGGAAAGTAAGGGAAATCTACTAAGGCCAGAAAAAGCAGGAACCCATAGGATTAAGCAGACTCTTTGGCTTTGGTTGCCTAAGAGTATTTTTGCCAATCTAAGTGATCAAGCAGCTTTATTATTTTTAAATTGAAGTGGAATTCACATAACCTAAATTAACCATTTAAAAGTACCATTCAGGGCGCCTGGGTGGCTCAGTAGGTTAAAGCCTTTGCCTTCGGCTCAGGTCACGATCCCAGGGTCCTGGGATCGAGCCCCACATCGGGCTCTCTGCTCCATGGGGAGCCTGCTTCCTCCTCTCTCTCTGCCTGCCTCTCTATTTGTGATCTCTGTCAAATAAATTTTAAAAATCTTAAAAAAAAAAAAAAGTATGATTCAGTGCCATTGGTATATTCACAGTGCTGTGCAACCACCAATTCTATCAAATCCCAACATACTTTCATCACCTCAAAAGACAAGCAGGCACGTCCCACTTCCCCCTCCACTCAGCCCTGATAACCACTAATCTGCTTTCTGTCTCTATGGATGTATCGATTCTGATTATTTCATATAAAAATAATCATGCAAAGTGTGACCTCTTGTGTGTAGCTTCTTTCACTTAGCATAATGCTTTCAAGGTTTACCAACCTTGGAGCATTTATCAGTACTTCATTCCTTTTTATGGTTAATATTTGATTGTATGTATATACTGTATAGTTTATCCACTCAAAATGTTATGGAATGAGACATTGTGAATGCATTAAGTACTGCTGAACTGTACACTTTAAAGTTTTGTGGGTTTTTTTGTTTGTTTGCTTTTGGTTTTTTTAGTTAGCTTTACACCCAACATGGGATTTGAACTTACTCGGACTGAGCCAGCCAGGTGCCCCTGAACTGTATGCTTTAAAATGGTTAAGTTTACATTATGTGAATTACACAGTTAAAAAAAAATTTAATCCTCACAACAACCTGATGAGATTAAGTACTGGTATTTTCTTCATTTTACATATGAGGAAAAGATACTGAGAGGTTTTGTAACTTCACTAAAGTTACTCTTTGCAAGTGGCAGAATTAGTATTTGAAAACCAGCAACTCGGCTCCAGAGACCACACTCTTAACCACTGTTGTAATTAAAACCTTAAAAAAAATTCACTAATATAGTACTAAAATTTACTGAGAAAGAAAAAAGGTACTAATATGGGACCTATTTAATGCGTCAAATATTTTTTTGTGTACTAGTCTGGAAACTCAGCATAGAGCCAGGCATAGCATAAGGCCTAAACTTGTTAATTAATGTATGATTGTATGCACCTACAAATAAACTTAATATCCATGAAAAAATGTATTCAAAATGCTAAAGATAAATTTGGAACATAGCTGTTCTGTACATTGGGAACTTGCTATATTTGTCTCCTCACCAAGCAAACACACAGATGACTGCTTTCCTTTTCATAAGCAGCTGTTACCTGAAGGAAAATATTATATATGCAAGTCTTATGCCAAGCTATATAAGCACATGACTTTTTAGAATCTGAATTAAATTCCTCTTTCATAAATACTCAGTGCTTTTTTTCCTCTAGGACTGTCTGTTCACTTACATAAAATTAGAAGGCACGAAATACCGAGAAGATAACCACAATGTACAATACTGTTGTGCCAGAGAGACATAAAAATAAATCCATTATTTTGAGTCCCACAGAATTCTAACCATCTGAGTGGGAGTTCTACTGCTGACATTAATTACAATTTAAAAGAATCCATTTCCAGAGAAACAACCTTCTGGTGTCTCACCAAAACCAAACATTTTTAGTCACAATTTTCTACCATCCCCCTCTGACATTTAACCATTAGGTCTTGGGAAATGAGTTAATTGCTACACCACACTGGCACCTGGAGCTAGAAAAGTCTTCAGAAATCATCTTGTGGGGCACGTGGGTAGCTCAGTGGGGTAAGCCTCTGCCTTCGGCTCAGGTCATGATCTCAGAGTCCTGAGATCAAACCCTGCATTGGGCTCTCAGCTTGGTGGGGAGCCTGCTTCCCCCAAGAAGGCTTCCTTCTCTGCCTATTTGTGATCTCTCTCTCTGTCAAACAAATAAAAGCTTAAAAAAAAAAAAATCATCTTGCAGGGAACACCCTTCACCTGAGAACTAAGGAGTCTGAGCAAGGGTAGTGAAGAGGTCTGCCCAAAGCCTGAGGGGGCAGCGTAGACTTAGAAGCCAGAGTTCTTGGACTCCTAGTTATACTGTTCACTGTTCTACCTGTTCTCAACCTTTTTCAGTCTTTTAATGTAACTCTTCTCTTCCACTTATAAAAGTGTACTTGTTTTTACTCTCCATATAATTATTACTTTTTTTTTCTTTAAACAAGCATGTGTTAGTTTTAAAGTGAGGAAAAAGCAAATACACTTTTTAAAGACATCAGAATACAAGAGCATATAGCCTAGAGAGTCTCAAAGTATGGTATGGGGCTCCTTGAAAGTCCCTAAACCCTTTGCAGGGATCTGCAGGATTAAAACTATTTTCGTAAGAATACTATCACAGTTTTCGCCTTTTCCATTCTCATTTTATCACAGCAGTGTAATGAAGTTTTCCAGAGGGTACATGCTATG